TCTGAGGAAGCTGAGAGGTCACAGGCACTTGGAAGCAGTTGTCTTGCCCCATTACACATTGTTGATATCTACAGAAGAGATCTGGCAGCCCCAGGTCACTCCAGGCCCGTGCTCTGACACAAACAGTCCATGGCCCTACAATTTGAGAGCTCACTAAAATGGGCAATGGCTGAGTGGCTGGCAAGGGAACCGAGCAAGCCTAACTTGGGCATTTCCTAGCTTCTCCATAGTTATTCCTGTGGCCTTGAATTGAAGGGGCAGTTACACAGCTCCTCTAAATCAATAATAAAACACACTTAATTGAGCAAACAACATTATGTGATGCACTTGTAATCCTGTGTGCAGGTTGCCATAGATGAATCTTTATCCACACCAGAGTTCATTACTTCAGCTAAGTGAACTTGCCAGGGCAATTAAAATCTAAGCAAGGACACAATAACAGTGGAAACAAGTCAGCCTTATCTTGGTTTTCTTCTTAAATTGGGATATACTCAGTTCCTAGCAGAGACTGCCCAAGTCTTCATACAAAAAAAGAGTCCAATTTAAAAGTATTCTGGCCAAACACAATTTCCAAAGCAAATGCTAATAAAATAGTTGCCCTTTCTGAGGACACACACACAGAATTTCCCTTCCTTACTGCTTAGGCCTGTTATTTACTTTAAGAGTTTATTCTTTTAGCCTGGACAGATAAACAGCAAGATCAGTTTACTGAAACCAGCTGACTGCACTATAGATTAATGTTGGCTTTGGGAAAAGCTACAAAAGAAAAGTCAGGATAATAGAAATTAATAGAAATCACATCATTTTTCTTACCCTTCTGCAACTTTCCACCACCACTCTTTTGCTAACCCAAATTGAGCCAACTTAAAACTAAGTCAGGATAAAGATACGGTAAATAGAAGTGAAGCAATACTTTAGTGGATTAGGTCTTAACTGGGTCAGTTCTCTGCAGAGGAGCCCAAAGGGCACTAGTGCTCACCTAGACAGTGTGGGGAAGGAACACCCCCAGAGCTGGGATTACCTCCTCCAGTGCTAAATCACACACAGATCAGCTTAAAGCAACAGCCAAACTGCAGCAGAGGTGGCTCGTGTCATCTTTCAGATCCTTTGGTGGGCAAGCACCACTGTAAGACCTGCTGAGTGTATTTTAAGTACAATTTCTTGTACTTCTGAGTAGTTGTATATTCTCACTTAAACAAGTATTGTCCCAACAAGGATTTTTACAGGAGGGCAATTTACTGTGAAGAACCAGGATGAGGACGACAGCTGTTTATAAGGAACTGAAATCATGTTTTTCCAGATGGAAACTCCTGCACTGCAGATTTC